TGAGAGTGCTCTTTGAGAGTCATTTGTCTGGTACCACTTGGCCAAAAAAAAAAAAAACCCTGATTCCACATCAGTGACTCTGAGATTTACAACCAAATACCTCAAATATTTAAACTTATAATTGGACATTTAGGGGAGTTCTATATGTATTTACTGTACATGTGATAATTGTGGAGAAATATTTATGAGTTTATTTAATTTATTCCCAAACTAGAAATATGGATTTTGTAATAAAAAAGGTAGCTTGAAGATCAAAATAGCTGTCCTACACCCACAGTTTACTCATTTTAAGTTCACATGTTGGCAAGTGGCAGTCCTGTTGAAGTTTTCTTAAATAAGACACTAAATCACAACATGCCCCAGAGTTGCTACTCCTAATCTGGCTCTGACTTGCTAGCACGGTGCACAAGCACAGAGAGACTTTCCCAAAGGAGATCAATGAAATGTCACATTTTTATCAGTTTAGATAGTGGGCTCTCACCCTTGCTCTCAGCCAGCAGCTCTTCTGTCATGAGTCCATCCTGCCGGTTCCCCAGGACAAAAGCCAGAAAGGAGAGAATGAGAGCGTCCAGGATGCCCATAATAGCCAAGATATAGGCCCAACGCACTGAGCAGGCCCCAAGGCTGTATTTGTCTGTCTGCTCTCCACACATCCGCCGGACCGCATCACTGTCCCAACCATCAGGATAGATCATACAACCGAGCACCAGACAGACACCTAGTTAGAGGCAGAGAGGGAAAAATAAAAACAATGCCAACATTAGGAGGAACAGTGGATGGAAGAGAGGCAGGAGGAACAAAACGTACCAACAGAGCAAAAATGAGTTTTGGGGAAATGTGCAGTGTTATAAATGAGGTCAGGGATAATGAGATTTTGTGGGCAAATGAGAGATAAAGAAGAAGCGTGATCATTTCAAGTGCTTTAAAAATCTGTACCTTTATATTCTCTGCTCTGCAGATTTTGTTGTGTTTCTACTGTATTTATTATATAGATTTTCATTCTCTCCCTTAGGTGGGAAATAGGGGTCTAGATACAATGAGTGCCAGTGGAGGAGCAAACAGTAGTAACCAATCACAGCAGCAGTCATAGCCAGACACAATAGCAGTAAGAGATTCAGTGTGTAGTAATGGCTACGAAATATGAAATGTCCTCAATAATTGCCTGGTATTTCCTCACATTCACATAGTTTACTTCAACGTCTCTCTCACGCTTGGCTTTTAAATAATGGTCATTCTCAGTTGTTGCTAATCATCATCATCCTCTTCAGTTTGCATCTCTTCAGTTTAAATGAGATTCTTCTCTGCGGTGATGCTGTGGCAGAACAGCACAACCCCCACTCTTTGGCTTTTAACTAAGCACTCCTCATTCTCAGTTTTTGCCCTAAGGGGTAACATCTTGCTCATCTTCAATTTGGATGAGGTTCTCCTCTGAGGTGATGTTGCAGCAGAACAGCAACAGACCTGAAAAAAGACGCTGACTTCACAATTACCTAGAATGCATTGCATATTAATAATAAAACATGCTCCCCACTTCTTTTACCCCAAAACACTTGCTTGCTATGTTTCCTCCCTGAATGCTAAGTGTTTTTGTATTCGGCTTCAGGCTTTTGAACATTACTCGAGGATTTTATTTGTACACCTTTTAAACAGATATGTGTAATATATGTGTGTATTGTCCTTATTTGTATCTTCTCTCCAGCTTTTCCACAGTCGTACAACCAAAAGTGAGAACAATATGCTGTCTTCAAGCTGCCCACACATACGCATTAAAGCACTCACACACTGCAGTTAGTTACAGTAATGCTGCAGTCTTTAATAGTGCTGAAAGACATCAGGGGGTGTTGAGAGATGTTTCAGAGAGAGCAAGTGAGTATGAGGGAGATTACAGAGTAGTATATGCTGCAGACAAACTGCATGCATAACTCCCCCCCCCCCATAGTTCGGTCATAACAAATTTATATGCACACAGAGGTTCAGAGAGTTAAGACTCAGGTACTTATTCAGACTCCTATAGATGGATGGAGGGGGACTGCAATATACCAATGTATTCATTACATTTCTATGCCATTTGGCACAGAAAATTCCTTTACATCGCTTGATAGCTAAACTACATTTAATTAACAGAAATCAGTGTCACGTAGCAGTAACATTACGGTTCTACTACAACCCTGGTTTCATGAATGTACAATTAACTGTCTACAGGTAGCATCACTGAAGGGACAGACCCTTTTCACTAAAGCAAGACTTAACTTGAGCCTGACAGGTTGTGATAGGGCATCACTAGGACCTATGTCACTCAGCCCAACTGAGTGCTATATAGCATTACAGTCTGTCAAATGTCCTCTAAAGTCTAGTTCATCATTCACCTCCTTCTCATGTTTTCCTCAGTGCCTGACTTTCTGGTGTGTTCAGCAATACAAGGTGTTTGACAAACAGTTAAAACTGTAACAATAGTTGCACTCAACTGTAAATAGATACAACAGATAGGGAGTTTGAGTTTGCTTTAGTCAGTGCAGAAGAAAAGAGACAAAACTGCCTCTTTGTAATGTGGACACGAAATCTATATTGAATCAGATTCTGTGTGACTTACAACTCCAACAATGTTTAAAGTATAGCTGGCCACAAGAAATAGTAACTTGTTTAGTCATTTTTTGTTTAGTTTAAAGTAATGTAGTTTTGGATTACAGATTTTATTGTTAAAATGTATTTTGTTTTAATATCTGTCTTTAAAGGTGTTAATATGTAAGAACTGGCCAACTGTGGAATTCATACTCCAAACAAATATGGGCCAACATATCACCAGAGTAACTTCTAACTGCTGCTTACTGCGGCTGCCGTGAGCTAATTATCTCAGTTAGCTGTGCAACTGGCGGTCCCATTAGCTGTATATCTATTAGCTGACTCCGCCTGGACTGGGAGTTCAAAACACCAGGGGGGTATTTACACTGCTGGCAAAGGAGCTTTGGAATTCCGGGAGAAGAGGGCTTTTTGGGCCCAGGGTGTGAGGCCCAGTCGGGAATGCTGCTGGGGAGCTGCGCAGGAATGGCCACCAGAACTTGGTCCACGCCAACGGGATTGATGTAAACCAGTTTTTTGACAGGGAATACATTACTGAGATGATCCACAGTGGCTCCAACTAGGACTATGACTCAGGGAACGATGGAGACACAGGGACAGGAGAGGTGTCAAGCGGTAGAGGAGCGAGAAGAAGGTAGGTATCAGGGAGGCAGCGACAGAGTGTAGAACCAGAATATTTTTCAGCGGATTAAAGGTTTATTTCAACCAAACCAACCAAAGAGTGTGTTGGAACAATGAAAAGGATTTATTTATTTGTTTATTCATTTTGAGTTTGAATAAACTGTGTTTTACGATGATGACAGTTAAGCTGGTCTTAATTTGGTAAAAGTGAGAAACCTGAAAATAGGAAACAATATTTCTTTTCTTCACATTTTGTGACTTTATTATTAGACTGAAAAAGCTAGTCTAGCTGGAGAACATAGTGGAGCATTTATCAGCTAAAGACCCAGATATTTTCCGAGGAGTTGGTAGAAACTACAAACAGCAAAAAGGAGAGTGAATATTGGACTTAATTCATCAGGTGGACACAAACACAACTCCAAATGGATGCTATGTGAGCAGTGAGACTGAAACAATAAAGTAAAGCTGTGGGCCGGACAGCTCCACAGTGAGCTGAAACTCACTATAAAGATACAGGTGATAATTCTCTGTGGGATCATCACTACTTGTAGATCCATGAATAAATCAAATTAAGGGTGAGGGCTCGTTTTCACTGCTGTGAGGATTGTGAGGCATGTTGGGACTTGGTTCACTAAAAAATCCTTATTGCTTTATTTATTGCTCCTGCCTCAAAAAAAAAGCTAAAGACAAATAGTATGAATTTGAAATGAAGTAAAACAATACGGTTATTACAAATATATTATGATAATAGAACTTATATCTGCTATTTTAAAGTGAGCTGAAAGCTGAACTCATCAGTCAGCTCGTATATTAAACGGTGACCTAAAAGGGAAGCTGCCCATACTTTCTATGGGTGTTTCACCATCGGAGCTTTGTAAAATAGGAAATCATAAGTAGTGGTGCATTGATATGAAATGAAATGAAATGAGATCCTACCAACCGTGCTTCTCCTAACTGCATGAGTGCTTTGTATATCATAGGGGTTTTATGTAACAGGTTTCACTTAATAGAGGGAGTGCCATGGAAGACCAAATAACATTTGATATTGTGAGTCAGTGCATTACAATTCTTTTTCCCTCATGATGCATTTACTACAAAGGTAACAAAAGCTTTTCCAGATCCTTCTGGGTGTATCCTGCGTGCCTTTGGCTCGATTTAACGCCATCATGAATATTACATTGAGGCTCAGAAGGGGAGAGAAGAGGTGCGCACAGCTCTGGAGCAGGTGAGAGAGAGAGAGAGAGACCGAGGATGCAGGAAAAATACGAATAAAAGAGGTGTACACTGACAAATGTTGATAGCATCATTGCAGGGAGAGAACAAAAGACACAAAAGCAGTCGAATATCTGTCACAGTCACTAGTGAACACTGTAAAATATCTACTCCAAAGCCTGCCTCTGCAGATGAACATCTCTGAGGGATGCACTGACAAGGATTATACCAACAGAGGGTGCCACATATGCCACTCCTGTTTCCAGAAACAGCTTGTAGTTAAAGGAGGAGCACATGTCCCCTCCATACACTGAAACAGTAAGCCTGGAGTCAACTAATCCATAACCACACAACACAACACAACAGGCCCAACACAGCATCCACTTACATAACAAGGAGCTTAATCAAAACTCACAGAGGAAAATAAAAACTACAGCACCTTATAGCGTATACACCCAAGTTAATAATACCAAAGGGAGAAAAGAGGGATTTACTAGCTTGGCATTTATGTTTAGGGGTCAGTCATTTTGGAGAAAGATAGTTGACTGTTGAGTCTCATTCTCAGGTTGCTTTGGCAACAAAAAGCATCTTTATTTAACAACCAATGAGACTCAACAGTAAACAATCTTTCTCCAAAATGACTGACCCCACCTTTAAACTTTTACCTTTAAAATACTTCTCTGCCTGTAAGGGAATTCTGAATACATTAATAGTATCTCAAATAATGTGCTAAATATGCTACAGTGCATTTATTTAAATGTCATTAGGATCATACTGTATAGTGAAAGTAAACAAATCAATACAGCTGCAAAATACAGATCAATACTAAATACAGATATTGTAAAAAAAATATTCAGAAAAACACATATAACACTATGAAACTATTATTAGCAACACTGATGAGCCACTTTACCCCTGCATGGGGTATTTCCTATTACCACAGATAACAAGACAAGCATAACAGTGAGTCTTATTATAAATTTTAGCACAGTTAAAATTGAGTTTTAATCACACAAAACTCTCTCTGAACAATCTCAGATCAATGGACAATATTGTCTATAAAGAGAAAATTAATTAGCCACTATTTTGGTAATCAATGAATTTAGTTTTATGCCACTTGGTACATATTCACTGATTCTCCAGTGTGGGGATTTGCTGATTTTCTGGTTTACATCATTGTAAACTGAAACATCTTTGGGTTTTGGACTGTTAGTTGGACAAAAAAACTATTTGACATCACATAAAAAAGTTTGGGGCATTTCTCACTTTTTTCTAAAATTCAAAACAATTAATTTATTGAGAATTAAATAACAAATTAGTTATTATTATAACAGAGTATAATGTAGATGTAAGCAGATAAAAGTGTAAATGTATTTGTCTATAGCTATAACTACTCTTGTTGGCACCCATAAGCAGAGGTACTGTAAAAAAATAATGACTACACAGTTGTAATAACATAAAATATGTCTTCATATGAGAAGTTATAATTGTTGACAAATACTGTAGATTAATAAACACATTAAATGTTTGAAAATTGACCTTATAGCTGCTTAATAGTAATTTAAACACCAGTTATTAAATGTTTATATACTGCCAGTGAAAGCTAAATAGGGGGACTTGGGTAAAGTAAACATTATCTCATTATCTGCTGGTATCTGCTGGCTTCACCCACACAGCATTGGAGCAGAACTTCGTGCTGCAGTAATAAGTGGTGTGCTCCCGATCCTGGCAACAAAAATAACAGCACACCTGACAGAATGCAGCTGTCAGACGGAGCGGAGACGTGATATTAACTGACGGCATTATCCTACCCTTTCAGCTTTGCCCTTCTCTCTGTCTCTTTCCTGCTCTATCTGGAGAGCAGGAGGAGAGCAACAGACAGGCGCAGAGAGAGAGGAGAGACAGATTATGAGGCAGGGCGAGGCAGAGATACACATAGAGAGAGAGGAGGAGAGGTGGTGAGAGACAGAGCCCATGTAGGGTGCCATGCTCCAGCCCTGTGTGTGGCCGCCAGCAAGTACCCAGAACCACACTAACGTCATGAGCACTGGCTACCATATGCTGGAGCCCCTTGGCGAAGCTATTCTCAGCATTTACTTGTTTCTGTCTTTTACACACACACACACACACACACACACACACACACACACACACACACCGATACACACCTCTCTCTGTTTGTCTCTTTTCTCTCCCTAGGAACCCCGGGATCATGCAAGTGGAAAACTGGACTGAGAAATGCTTGCTGGCTTATGTAAGAGAGACTGTAGGTAGGGCAGATTAGGTGCAAACAGGAAACAGGAAAGTCTGAGGGCAGACAGGCAGATGGTAGCTACGGAACGGTATGATGGCGGTAGATTTGTCAGAAGCAAATTGGTTCATTTTCCCAAAGAGACTACCCAATACTAAAGTCAATCGATACTGAAACAATCCCATTCCCTCCTATAATCTCTGTGAGTCACTTGCAAGTGGTGCAGGTGACTGGAAGTCCAATGTGACCTCCAAAGCAGCAGCTTGATTGGATTTGTGTGTCTGGTTTACAGATAAAAAGAATGAACCACATAAACTGTACACTGCCTTTGAAAAAGTAAGTATAGGGTTTAATGTACCTCCATGGCATCTGGCTCATGTTTTGCTGTGTTTTCAGTGTTTCGGCATGTCATTGATTGCACTGGGTGGCAGATGGAAACACACAGTTATTTGTATTTCCTGCTTTTTCCATCACTTACACATCTGCAGCACATCTAAGCAGCCATGAAAAGGGATTCACATTTTTCAACTCCCACAGTCCTTTGTGGATCCCATTTTCTCCTCTCCTCATTTAAATAGCTGTGACAAACTGAATTATGCACACATCCCAAACTGTTCTATCTCAGACTGCATATGAATCCAGTTCAACCACACTCACACACACACACACACACACACACACACACACACACACACACACACAAACAGAGACATATAGTGGTAAACATGCCTCTCTTTGTGTAAAATATACACAGTGGCTTAAGTGCTGAACATCATTTTATCACTTCCCATAGTGACACATCTTAGTGCTGGTGAATAAGAGAGTGTGTTTACTGAACTGTCAGCCTCTCTGGTGAATAACCCCATGGCTGGCAAAGTGGCATTTAAGGTAAAAACTAAAAGTCAGCTCAAAAAAAAGAAAATCGGCACACAGAACGGTACAGAGTGTTTATCCCAGTGGGGCTTCCCATGAATATGCATAGGTAAGTTTGCTTTAATGTAACTGCAAATGTTATACTCCCACAGGTGAAATAGTGACCTGAATGTGAGCAAAATCTGACTGGTTCAATTGAAAGGATTCCTTCAACAGTCTTTTATACTCTCTTACAGAAAGCAACTGATGGGAAACTCAGACAGCACAAAGACAGTAACATCATTACTCACATCCAAAAAGAACAAAATTACATCTTGTGATTGTTCTTCACTGGCTAGAAATGCAATCTACAACCCCTAAAGACATGGTTCATCCCTGATGTTTATTGTCTATGTTGTTGTTCTCAGTGTTAAGCTCCAGGCACAGTGAGATTTCAGTGCTGAGGCACAGTGTGACAGTGTGGCCAGGTGCTTGGATGACTCACGTTGCTGAGACTGGAGACAAGCAGCCCAAATACCACAATGTGGGAGAGTGGTGGGAGCGTTGGCTGTAGCCTAAAGTTTCAAGGACCAAACGCTTGGTTCGGCATGTTTTACTGCTGCTGTTTACACCATAACACATTCAGTGTCTATATGAAACATTTTGTCAGAGTAGACTGAATAGTAGTAAAAACACAAATGGTAAATGGACTTCACTTTTACAACACAGCACTTAATCTTAGTTGGTGAAGGAGACTCACCCATTCACACACACACACACACACACACACACACACACACACACACACACACACACACACACACACACACACACACACACACACATACATACACTCACGCATTGTTAACAGCAGAGCTGCCATTAAAGGTACTGGCCCGGCCCTTGGGAGCAATTTGTGGTTTGTGGCCTCTGTATGGTCTTATGCACAAATACTGTCAGGTTAGGTGTTATAAACAGTATTTTTGGGGATTTAATATGATTTTCTGCAATAATTCAAAAGGGTTTCATTTCATAATTTGTGCCTGTGAATCTTTTCATCTTGCTCTGCTACCATGAGATCCTGTCCTTCGTTTGATCCTCAACTCAATATGCTGCACTCTCTATAGGCTCCCTAGTTATTTTTGGTATTCTTCATTTGCATTTTGCAGGGGAATCTACGTGTTCAGATTCAGGGGTGGGTATTAACGCACATGAGTACAATTACCCCACCACCCTTTTTTTTAAACTGTAAACTCTTGACTATATTTTTAAGCCAATAAACTAGTTTTTACTTTGCTACATTTACCATTTATACTTTCATTAGAACTCAACAGCTAAATGTAAGGATTCAGTGTATAGGTGTGGAGAGTGCACAAGGAGCACCTCTACTATAGATGTCAAGTTGCTTCTGAAGGCAGTTTCAAGTGACAATCCCTGGCAAAAACATCTGGCCACTTTTTATATCAAAATCTAAACAACAAAACAGTTACACAATGAAGTGCTCACTGTGCCTCCCAAAAAACTCTGAGCTCTATGCTTTCAAAAACTAATTGTCTAACCTCCACAAGCACACTGAAATAGGTTGCACATACTGTAAGTGAAATGTGTTTAGCTACCTAGCGTTAATTTTTGATGTGTCACAATCTTTGATGTTATGTTAATGACAATGGTCTTCTGGCCTTTTATGTTGGTGCAGAAAGCTGTTAACCAAACATAATGTCAACTTCAACATTAACATTACTTTTTGCAGTAGTAAACACAGCCTGAAAAATATTAAAATGGAAAATAACTTGCCCTTTCAGTAATTTATTAACCTGCTACTGTTCACCTGAGTCATTTTTTATGGAAGTAATTGTATTTTTACTTACTCTTAGATTTTCAGTACTCTACCCACCACTTCTCACAATGAATTTGTCTCAGTTACTTTCCAGATGTTGTCATCGGCAATCTATAGACTTATTATATATATATAGACATAATTACATGGATGTTCTAGTTGTCATTAGTCTTCCTCATATAATTCTTGTAACTCACTTCACCTACAGAGCTACTTCTGTGTGCTTTATGCAGTCAAATAAGAGGGTGTAGAATGAGGCTGACTAATCTAATCTTTCCCGTGGCCAGTCAAGACTCTAACGAAGTGTGGGCAGTATCACCTCCCTCATCACACTGGACAATTAGGATTTCTCTCTGGCTCCAAAGATGAGTGAATAAATACCAAAGACAGACGGCCTAAGACTATGACAATGATATGCCATAATTGCATCCAGATAAATGGGGCTATTAAGAGTGTATGATCTCCATAGTGGGACCAAATGGAGTGTGAAAATGCGTCATCGCCACTTAAGTCTGCTTCATGATCCAGGCTTATGGGGTCGAAAGAGAACAAAGAAAGAGGGTTATAAATGTGTGGATATTGCTACTATAGAAGCTGTTCTTTGTATTACTTTGGCACTGTTATAATATGTGTTGGTTTATGTGGCTATAAGAGAAAAATATATGAGAAATATAGCCTATCTAGGAGTTAGAGTTTCCTGCATAGACAGGAGATGAACATTTGTTAGGACAGCTGGCTGGGCACAAATTTAAAACAGTTCTCTAAAAAATATATTTCCAAAGTGTCAAGGATACAGTGGAAAGTGGAGCAAGAGAAACTTTTAAAACTGACTCCAGCTATCTCCCCTGGAAGATGAAGAACATGCTTCTTGAAATGAGCTGTCTACAGTCCAAATCTATTTCTGCTTCAGTTGCTGGCAAAACTCGATGGTTGCTGGAGGGGAGCAAGGAGCTTCCAGGCATCCTCTGTATCCCGCTCTGTCAACATCTTCAGCAATTTTCTGCACAACGAGCACATAATGCCCACAGCTTACCTACCAATTCAATTCAAAAGATTAGAAGGAGCAAGAAATGGCTTTTTCATCAAATCATCTCTGTTCTGTGCCAGGACAAGTCTTGGAAAAACTTTTTAACCATCTTGCAATGCTGAAAAATAATCTTCCCACATGAGCATATTGTGTATTATAGTGTACCTGTAGGCTGCAGGAAGCACTCTGACTTTTACAATAGGGAATAAAACATAACTAGCATTAAGGAGATCGTTAGAAGTATCATTCCAACTAACAGTTTCAGAACAAGCCTGATGTATGAATAAAAAACAAGACTGAAAAAGACACTATCTAACAGGAGAGGATGAGCAAATCCATCACTAAGTTTCTATTAATTCCTAATTTCCTAGTTACTACTAACTAGTTTCATCTATCTATCTATCTATCTATCTATCTATCTATCTATCTATCTATCTATCTATCTATCTATCTATCTATCTATCTATCTATCTATCTCATTGCCTTGGAGTTAATGATTAGTGACTTGTCCTCTTTAAAAGCTTTTTTTAATCCTGCGTACTTTGGCCAAATGGTGTATATTCAGACAGCGTGTGTGCTTTGACTCTTAATGTCCACACAGACCAATCCGGTGAGACAACGACTCATTATTAAACACTGATTGAAGTTGGTGTTAGAAAGGAGAGCAGGCTGCCTACAGATGAAGCAGGACATACAAGATGAGGGACACGGTGTGCTCTGAAAATATTGAGTGAAGGTTGACACAGGAATGAGACATGCGCCTCTATAATAAATGTAGCACTTCAGGTTTAAAGCAGAGGTGGGGATGCGGAGCTAGAGGGTGGAGGGGAGAGGAATTGAGGGGGAAGTGCAACGTAAACCGCAGTGAGCAGAGGAGGAGGGGAGTCGGGCTGAGGTGGAGGGCTTATGTAACAGGTTCAGATGCGGCCTCTACCTCTACAGAGGATAACGATTGGCAAGGGCAATGAGGATCAAAAGAGACCTTTGAATTCTCTGTGAAAATACTGACTGGGCCACCAGTTCAGGGACGATAGAGGCAAACAGCCACGCCTTAGGCAACCAATGACGATGTAGTTACAACAACAACAACATGTTTTCCCAATCTTCCTCTTTTAACCGTCTACCTATAAGTTCCACTTTAACCCATTTGTATCTTATATTTCAGTATTATCTTCTGGTATTTTGTATATTTTGGAACGATATGGCTTCGAAGGAATTCACATCATTTTTAATTAATATTTGTGAAGATTTGCAATGCCTTTGATGACCAAATCTTAACCCATTTTGTCTGGTTTAAATTGAGGGTCCCTTGCCAATTCTTTGAGATAAGGTAATTCATTATTTATATTTATTGATTTATTTAAGTCGTATTACTGATTTGTGTGGCATGTAATGATGTTATTAATGTTTTAAGTTTGAGAAGAGCAGCACAAACTAATTATCACATAAACAAAACAAAAAACGTAATGTATTCCATTTGGGAAAAATAAAAACAAACCCATTTTTTTGTTTGACCAATTCGGTTTTGAAACGGAACAACTAAATAACAAACGATTCACAAATTAAGTACCTCATAATTGTACTTAAGTAGTCTCAAGCGAACTTTAATAAATCTACTTAGTTACTTTCCACCAATTTGCATATATACATATAATACATGAACATGTGCACGTCTACCCTTACTGTCACTAGCATGAAAAGTTTTTTCCGTGGGTCACAGTGTCCTTGCTGTCCCACCTCATCCCTCCCTCTGTGGAATAAATCAGCAGCCTCCCCTGCCTGGGCTCTGGCCTGAGCCAGGCCACTTCTAAGATCACAGGGATTAAGTCTGGCAAATCTATAGTCCACACCCTGCAGGGCTGCGGGGACACAAAACACAGGGGAGTCATAATGATGACTTGGCTGACATTTAGAGTTTGTATTCCACAGCTCTATATCCAAACTCACAAGGTGTGGGCTAATTAATCAGCATTGATTTGCTTGGTTTGATGTTAAAAACATGATCTTTCAGTTCTTGAATTAAACCAACTGTTCTGCATTCACAAATAAACAGTAAATCAACAAATATGCATCACCAAAATAGCAGCACATTTCTGTGCTGAGAAGACATCGCCACGGTATGTAATTACTGAAAAAAAAAGTACATGCATGTAAATTACTATGCGTGTGTGCAATATGTGTGTGTGTAGATATCCACCATCCATCCTCTCCTCCTGCCGACCACCGTCAGCAGGACTGTGAGCTGCATGGATGATGGTTCCCCAGTGCCTAATGCTAGCTATAATTAGGTGGTTCAACTAGCTGTGTGTGTTTCTTCATTATAAAAACGCAGGAGTGGGGTGTTGATTTGAAAACAGATTAGGCCTAACTGCGTGGACATGAGGAAAATGTGTACGCAAGATTGTTAGCGTGTTTAGATATATGAAAACAGGGGGAATAGGAGAGACAGGTTAAAAGACACACACAGACATTAAACAACTAAGGAGAGTCACAGCGATGAGTTTGTACTCTTGAGATCGTCCCTATCTCACTGTTGAATGATGAGCCGACTGCTGTGAAGGTGTCATGTGTGGATTAGTGCACAAGGCAGTGTTGTGCATCGAGTTGATTTGATTCAAAAAAGGTTGCGGGTCAGCACATTCAGTTTCAGTGCTGCTCTGGAACGACCCAGTGAGAATACTGATCGGCTCTGTAATTATCCTGAACCAGTTGTCATCACATCTCTCTTAACCACCTGACTGCCACTGTCTTGTTCCCCAGACGGCCAATGTGGATTTCAGCCAAAGATTTCTGAAGCCTATTTAGGATTTGAAAACAACTCTGCAGAGGATTAATTTTGCTGTTGCTTCAAAATCTCTCAGGTCTTCTTGTTTGTTATGTCACTTACACAATATGAGCCCAGTTTGTCATTCTCTCATAGACACACAGAGGCAAAGAAACAGATTTTCTTTCATTCTCTTTTTCACTAGTGTTTCATAGTTAAAAGCACTAATGCACATTATAACAGGAGACATTACTCTCCTGTTATAATGTTGTTTCACTAGCTGCGTTACACCAATCTGCCCCAAGGGTATCTGACTTGCTGTAGAGAGACATTACTCTTTGCTCTGTACGTAGCTGCAGCAGCTACAGTGTCTGGATACATCAGACTGTTTTTAACATGATGACGATATCCGGCAGCCTGTCACAGACTGCTGTAAAATAACAAAAAGGTCCAAGGTAAGATTAACCTCCTGTCACAGGCTGCAGTTTGGAGGTTCCAGTGTAGCCTTTACGGAGGTTTCAGGTCATACAACTGCATATCCATACAATTGGACAAATTGAGACTCCACAGTACAAACAACATTTAAGAAGTTAATTTGGTGGCAGGCCAAAGGTAATTGATCAGAGTGGGGGTGTAATCTGAATACTGGTAGTAGTCAAAGAGTAAAAGAAGTCTGCCATGTTGAACCACCATATTTCTACAGTAGCCCAGAAGGGAAAAACCAAACATTAACTCCCCTGTAATTTCTTCTAATTCCAATAGTCACTCTCTTTTTAGCTCTGTTTTTGGTCTCCACCAACTACAGAGAGAAATATCTTTAGCTGCTAAATGCTCCACTGGGTTCACTAGTTATACTCGCTAACTTTGTCTGTCTACTGTTTGGTGCTGAGCAAGTAGTGTACAGTCAGTTTTTAGAACATGTGTGAAGAACAAATAGCTTAACCTGAGACTTAACCAAAACAATAAAGTTGTAGGATGCAAAAGAACAAAACAATGAGCTGAAAGACACTATAAAGCTCCTTAGAGGTGAGGGGAACTACAGTGTTGGGTGATAATTATTTATGGGTTCCTCATTACAGACATAGATTCATTATTAATGTAAAAATATTCATTAACCAGCTTTAAGTAATAGTAGTGGAGATTTGGTGGTATTATGTAAAAGACAAGAACTTCCTTTCACTGCATTAACTTGGTCTTTCAAAGTGCTGCACAAAGTCAAACCAAATTGAAGTGAACTGATCTATGGATAAATAATAATTCACTGGCATTGACGGAGCAGTAATATTAACTTAAATCTTTAAGTTAAACATAGTGATGTGTGAAAATGGTCAGGTTCCCTCACTCAATGGGACATGCAGTTAAGAAGTAGAAGGTCATTCAAGAATGAATGACAAGAAAAGCTGCAGAAGTCAGTCAAAGATGGAAAACTTCTAATGTGCTGAAAGTTAATATACAACTTGTTTGTTTTGTTTACTACTTTGGGATCAAGGCAATTATGGACAAATCTTAACAGCACTTCATCAAATTAAAGTCAACTCTTCTGTGCATTTTAATAGAAATGTTGTTCATTTATATGCTAATTTCTATTTCTATTATGTTGTTCGGGATTGGCAGCTTGAGGAAGTTGTTTTCCAACGAAGCTGCATGTGGCCAAAAAAGTTAATCAAGCCCTGGGCAGGGATGGTCATGTATTAGCATGCAGACAAAGGATGTGCATCTATTATTTCTACAGAATGAACTGGATGTTGCTATGTGAAGCATGCAAACACAGGCACAGGAAGCAAAGCAACAGGCAAAAGTAACAGAATTAGCCTTTTCCTCAGTGACTGATATGCTTTTAAAGGGCCGATAGGTATCCAGACAAAAGTGCTCATTTGCAGATTTAACTCGGGAGAGCTAGAGCACGTAGATCCGGCCCTTCTGCAATGAAAAGCGCAGCTCTATGACTGCTGCTCTCATGCCGAACTTCACCACTTTCCACCTCTGCATTCAACTAGACTTTTAGAACAAGCCTCTCAATAGAGCTAATGGACCTGGGAGTGAAAGCCAGTCACGGAGATACACAGATAATGATACACAGAGAGAAAGAAAGAGACCCACAACACCCGTATGTCTCTCTGAGCACTGTTATCTGATTTGTTTTCTCTCTGCCTTCTTTCTGTCTTTCTGTCTGTCTTTAGACCTCATGCTACTCTCTCATTTGTTGTCTCTCAGTTTATGTTTCTCTTTCTCTTTATTGTAGTCTGTTTCCCCTTGATCTTCGCTCTGTCATTTTTAGCCACTGTCAGGCAATACAGATTTACAGTCTTGATGTGCTGATCCCTCTTGATCTTTATCCGTATTTATCTAAAGTAGATTTTAACTGATTCCTTGAAGGCTCTATTTGGTGCAACAACATCCTAGTACACACGCTCGTACATATATTCAATTATCTATCTATTAATATTATTTCATATACATACAATTAAAATAATATAGTAGAATTGTACTTTTTCTTTACTTTCAAAGAGACGGACAACCCCCAAATTCTTTTATATGCATATGCAGTGTGAAGGTATGTATGTTGACTGAGAGCAGCCTCAATTCCACACCATTACATTTTGCAATTTGGCTTATAAATAAAACAATTTGGGAAATTAATTAGTTAATTGACTATACAGCAAAAATGCAATTTTTTCACTATTCAGACAAACCAACTGTCGATCAATTGAGAAAATAATTGGCAGATTAACCAATAATAAAAACCTTTTATGGTTGTAGGCTAGCCCTCCTTTGGTTATTCATATGCCCACAGCCAAGGCAGTGAGACACATCTCTCTCAAGTAATCAACTCTGTGCTGGAGGTTTGTTTCCCAACTTTGGAGTAGCTGTTATTTATTTCAGGGTCATTTTGGAACTGAACTAAACTGTGCTAATGTCACTGGTTAACATGCCTTCAAACTGCATCCAGATAAGAAAGACATCTATGGGTTTGTCTCACTAACATGAGTTTAATAATCCTTTTTCACAGCATACATTTTGACTTGTCACAGCAGGAAAAGCACAGGTGTTACGAATAACACGAAAGATTAATCTGTTTTATTCAAGAGTTCCAGTAAGCCATGACAGCGTGACAGTGAGCCAGCATGCACAATACCAGGACCCTAAAACCGAAGCAGCTAAATGGAATTCAGCCGTCATTAATTATATTATTTACGCCTGTGCTTTTCCTGCTGCGACATGTCGAAATCTCCTCTGAGAAAAAGATTATCATCTCAATGTGAAGCATTTCAACCTAATGAATTTTACATATATGATAGTATAATGAAATTAAGCCTGAAGCCTTCACACCCTGAAAGAAATTATATAAGTGTGTCTATTTTACAACAGCATGAACAACTACAGTCAGTTTTGGATCAAACAGGCATCAAAAATACACTTAATAAATAGACACAAATCATTCATATGTTTTTTACTTCACCTTATCATCATAGGAAGCCAAGCAACTGCTATAGAAAGCACAGGCTCTGTATTAACTACCAAATACTTCAAAGACGAGGCAGAAGATATTTCTCAGTGCAATTTTGTCATTTTGCTTCCCTACAATTTCTAAAGCAAATATTTTCTTTCTTGATTATTTCAGGAAAAAAACACCACCGGGCCGACACTGACAGAAGAGCCCACATAATAAAATACAAACAAAAACAGGTAAAAATAGAAATCTGACCTCTGAGTTAATGCACTCCTTTGAAAACAGTCCAGTTTGTATCTTTCCAAATAGGCCACCCTCAGTCTGCACATTTGTTTTGCTGACTTTACACAGCTTACGACTGTGAGCATATGACTCGTATGTTTTTGAGAAGAAACAATCTCATGTAATGTAGAAAAAAGCTGGCAGCCGACATAACAGAGTAAGCAGTCAGGGTGTAAAACGGTGAAGTAATTATCATTGACCTCACAGTCTTCTTATTTAATTGGCATGCAGACCCCTGAAGAACTGCGGTTACGGGACAAAAAAAAAAAAAAACAGGACAGCACATATTGTACTCGCTGAAACAAGTTTATGAAGAGAAAAAGGAGAAAGAGGAGAGAGGAGTTAAAGACATGAAAAGATATGAAAAGAGAGTGGAACTGGAGATAGGGTGAGGTCAAAAATGAGCAAGTGAAACAAGATGAGATGCACAGGAGGGTGAAATTGTGGGAAGGTAGCAGAAAGAGATAAGGTAAAGGAGCTTGTGCATACCTTGCTGTGCTGTGCTCAGCTCAGCGGAAAAAAACACACCCTTACATCTGCATGCCGTTGGACTTGAGCAGATGCACAGACGGAAATAGCTCGGGTGAGGAAAGTAAAAGAAGGATACGAGTCCATCTAGGGCAGGATGGATGCACTCAACTTTGTTTGGCTGAGGTAGACATTTTGAGAGATCTAATGTGTCCTGGGCTTTCACAGAAAACACTCTTCCTGGAGATGGCTCGAGATGTGTGCGTTCACTGATCCACTGGAGAGGAGCTCTGTGCAACGGCATGAATTTGTTATAAGTATTTATCCACAACCTTTTGACCTCTGGGGGGGGCAGCTTCAAGAGTGGCATACAGCAGATCACTTAATAATATATATTTGACCAACATATACAGTATGACCTTGATATTAAATTAAGTGTGTCTGAATAGCTGTATCACTCAATGATGAATGGTAGTGTTATATGCTATTTTTATAATGTCATATAAATTTGCCAAAAGCTAAAAAGTGTAGCCTTACAATAAGAAAACAAAAAAGACCTCTAATGATGATTGGAAGAAGAGAGAAAGATTGATTGTACAATGCAGAAAGCAGTGCTCTGATTAGTGACTGTGTCATTTATGTCCTTAGACCAGTCTAGCAGCAGGGGTGGGTGACAAGCTAAGGCTGAACCACTGTGTCAATTTCAATGTCAGTTTGCTTTATTGGCATGAGATGTGACATACATTTGCGCAGCCAAAAGGTTTCAAGAAGGAAACTTGTGTAAAAAGACAACAGTTTATTTCTTCCTTCTCTCTTTCACTTGCACACACACAAACACACACTTTCTGGCTTGTCATTTATCACTATTATATTGATGATTTGCAACCCCCTATCCAAACACCAGCTGACAGTAAGAGGCCCCATTATGGATGCCAGTGGGCCACCTGTCCTCCACAGGGCTAGTAAGTGAAGGCAGCGTGAGTTTAACCTTCAGTTAAGTGTAATGAAGTTTGACAGTGCTAAGCAGCCAGGATTGCTCATTAGGCATCCGTGTGCCAGCTTTCCGTGGTCAGGGTCTCTCCTCTTGGCTTTCTCTTTCATCTCTTAGATGCAGAAGCACAGAGCCCAACGGTCTCCTCATTAGACAGGCCCATTGCATAAATTCAGCCACACTGAGCTGGAGTTGGTCCAAATAATCCCCCTCATTTGTGTTTGTTTGCGAACAGGAAGCCGACTGCTTCAACCACTGGTACAGCTGAGCAGACCCGTGTTTGGCACAGCTTGGACTCCTTTCAGATGATGGAGGCCTCCGCTCACACTGGATGACATTAGCCCACAGTTACAGTGACAAAATGCTGCCAGCAGCTGAACCACTGACCTCCACAACATTTACCCTCAACACCCCTAACTCTACCACACGCACCTACTGGCTGCAGAGCATACAGACAGTTCACATTATATTTGGTTGCATTGTTGCTATACCTCTTCAGTGCAATAATACCCGCATTATCAGGAATCTTGAACATTTTTATATTAATATAAAGGTAACTCCAACACAATGTTCCTGCGTTATATTATCCAATCACACAAGGCCATTATTATAGACCAATAATAAAAAGAGATATGCGTGATGTATCTGGATAAAGGGTTATGACAAAAAACAAAGATGCATGGTGATAAATTAACATCAAGCTACCAATGTCTCTACATTGTTATGTAACGCAAAGAGTGGTTTAATTTAAAGGCACAATACAGGTTCCTAATGTAAGCAAAAGAGGCCCTACCTACCAAAAGAAATACACCCATCAAACTCATATTTTTTAAAATATTAGGGGGGCTTTCTGTCTTTAATCGATAGGACAGCTCAAGATAGATAGGAAAGAGGGAGAGAAAGGGGATGACATGTGGCAAAGGGCCACAGGTCAGACTTGAACCCATGGCCACTGCAGCAAGGACTCAACCTTGGTACCAGCTGGGCACCATCTCTGCCACGTGAGCTACAAAGATGACCCCATCCAACTTTTTCATTCTTGATAGCGAGCCCCATACCTTAATTCATCTGTCCATACTGAGCACTATATATAAAATAGTGTTCCCTTTTTTTTAAATGTTAATCTCATCTGTATAACTCACTGTGTGGAAGTCACTGGGGTCATTTATACTTGCATCATATAATGACATTGATATTGGATTGGTCCCTTCACGGCGGATAACTGATCTGCTTATTAGGGATCAGTATCGGACCAGTAACGATCGGATCATATCGGATCAGTGCATCCATAATTGGAACCTGCTATCACTCCCAAATTGATTGACATGTTTTCTGACGCACATTCAAACAGAAAGAAGGGACTAAAACAAATGTATTCATGTCTTCAGTAGCTGATGGTTTGTTTATACATATTTATAATTTTATTTTATTATTTTGAAATCAGAATCAGATATACTTTAATACTTTAACATATTAATTTAAATATGGTATAAGGAACTGAGGAATTTTTATGTGGCAACACCTGTATCTTCTACAGTTAAAAAAGTAAGTGACTGACTGTAAATTAAGTAGTAATGTGCATCATTTCCTCAGTAGCTCTTCAGCACCATGGACAGCACTGACTGCCCAGCAGTGCTGGCTGACAGCTACAGGAGAGATACTGCACACTGTCTGCTTATCTTCACTTTGGCTGCTCCCACTGACAATTAATTTATCTAATCAACTGATCAATCAAATTCAAATCCAGCACACTCTTTAGGAGTTTCAGGGTTTCATGCAGAGGACCCTAAACAGAATGAAATGAGACCCTAGAGACACTCATTTGATAAGATCCAACATCTTTTTCTTTTAGACAATATTTATATAGCCTATAGCCTGCTACTTTAATGTATGTATGTATATATATATATATATATATATATATATATATATATATATATATGCTCTCCCTACATTTTGTGTATACAGTAACAATAAACCATCCTCTATAAGCCCCCTTTCAAGGTCCCTTAAGCCCCTGCAGCCCACTTTAGGAGGAACTAAAAGGCACTTACCTGATGCTGCTTGCATCCAGCCACAGATCTTATACACGGTGGAGGTGCTGAGGAGGAAGAAGAGACTGAAGCAGCCGATGCAGGTGACAACCAGCATCATGGACATTCCAATGAAGAAGGAGGCGGCCTTGAACGCAGTGGAGGGGATAGCGGAGAACTCGGTGAAGGTACCCTGGCAGGCCAGCTCTCTGGAGAGTCCGTCTCCGACGCAAAAGTGAAAGAGGCCGAAGTAGCCGGCCTGCGGCGTATCCACGCCATCCCCAATCCAATAGGGCTGTGAGAAGATGGTCACGTTAACAATACCGAACAGGATAGTGAAGATGGCCCATAAGAGTCCGATGACACGGGAGTTACGGACGTAGTTGGTCTGGTACAATTTCGCAGCTTCTGCAGACGGTAGCATTGATGCGGCAGATCCAGGTATCATTTTATGAAATCCCGAAAGACTAAATGAATGTCGCGATCTGCCCGAGCACAAAGCGAGAATTTAACATTGATCACATAAACCGTGTTTTTTTTTTTTTTTACAGGAGCATCCCCGGAGCGGCGGGAACCAGCGGTGAATCTATGCCCGCGCAACTGCAACACAGCAACATCTGCCAGGCGCGATCAACTCATGACGTCGCATCCTAAAAAAGCCAGGCGGTGGACCGAGTGAAGGAGCTCTACGGTGGAGTGCTTGAACCCTGGATATGGACGACAACTCAGAAAAACTCAATGCACTACAGTGGCAGAAACAGGTTCCCTCCCACTTGCTCCGTGAAGCCGTCAGACGTGCACATCGCTGCCGCACTGTGTCGCTCGCCGATGCCCTTGGAAAGCCTCGAAAAGACTCCCGAGTGGGGAAGAAAAAAGAAATAGATTACTCACATCCGATCGAGGATGCACAACATGTGATGCGCACGTAGCCTATATATCTATAGCAACAGCGTAAAGGAAGCAGGTTGTGTTATGTCTCTGAATGGTTTCGCGTCCAGTAACACATTATAGGCCCTGCGCTTACAAATGAATGCAGCCTACCATAATAACCGTTCAGAAAATACGACGGCTCTTCTTCAGGATCGTTAAACGGGAATTTTATTCTCCGGTTTATGACAGCATTACCGGGCTGCCGGTGATGCTGGGAGTCAGAGAGGGAGGGGCGCAGTCGGTAGACGCAGATGCAGCGCTCGTTATGTGCGTTGTCTATCTGTGCAAACACCTTCTTGGTAACGATGCGTCAACGTCCGCTGAGCTGACGAAATATCAGAGCGATCTTAAATATGTTGAAGGAAGAAAAAAGAAAAAGGGGGGCGGGGGGGTTGGATGCAATCAAATCAGGTGGGGCGTAAGATTTAAAGCCGGATAATAATCTCCGTCTAATGTCTTTTGCGCGTCGCCCTGCTCTTCAGTGTCACCTGCGGTGATAAAGATGCAGCCAAAACTGCTCGGCTTCATGAGGCGCGCTGCTTTGCTGCCAGGAGGTTATGTAACACTTCATGAGACTGAACATAACGGCCTGTGCAAAGGGGGAAAAAAAGAGAGGAAGATGAAGATGAAGAAACAGGCTGACTATACTGCATAGTATGCACTGAATACGTGCTTCCACATGTAAATGTATGTACTGTCTACACACCAAGGATTTATCAAAAAGTCTCATTTCTCAAGACATGAAGAGAAAAACAAATCACATGATACAATATCATATGAGGCTTCTCCTCCCACCTTATCCAGTTCTGGCTGTATATAGTGGTTGTTGTGTATTTGCGTCACACAGACAAGTGCACAGCTTACATAGACATAAGATAAGACACCAATTATTGTTGCACTGATGCAACTAACTAACTTCTTATATAAAACATTACAATGTTTGGCCACATTCAGACTACAGGCCAAAGTGAATTCAATGCCAAATCTGATTGTTTTTGCTCATATGTGATCTGATTTTGTCATGTCACATGGAGTAAGATCTTTTATGATTTGGGCCGCTTTCATATGGGGTCCAAATCAGATACAGCTCTGATCTTTTTACACTGTGACCTCTGTGTGAACAGTCATATCAGGACTGACATTCATCATTCATCATTCACTTGAATCTGGTATGGGCCACATTTAAAAAATAATGTAAACAGTCAAAGAAATCAGAATTAAATGCTAAAGATTGAAGTGAGAAAGCAGCCTTTGTCTCCTTTCCTAAGCTCTAAAATGTGCCACAAACTAAAAAATCTTACTGTTGTGCAACCAGAAGTCAGCAGAGATAAAGGACATTTGAGTAAAATATATCACCCTTAACTCATCACATAATGAGCAATAAACTCAGTGTGGGCTTTAGCTTTAGTCACACCTAAATCACACTATGAAGCCTGTCCTCTTCAGGCATTAAACCTAACCATTTCTGTAGCTAATGGTTGTGTTAATGAACATTACTACGCACATAAAGATTTTTCACTTTTTGCTTGTAAAAAAAAAACAAACTAGTGCGAATTTTCCACATTTGGAGCAGTGCACTGTGGGTTAAATGTGTTTACTCCTCATTATTTCTCACCACATAACCAGAATACCCAGACTTTTCCCAGCTAAGTCCAATGCATGGTGCTGCTCTATAGCACTTTAAAACATCCTAGGGCTTATTTCTGGGTATACATGGTCCTTATTTTGCTCCTGTCCCTTTTTTTTGCTCTCTTGATGGCTACTCTGCACAGTGCCAGTTGCTCATGGATTAGCGCTCAGAGGATTTACTGTAAGAGTTCAACGCAGATTTTTGAAAGCACAGATGGATTGGAGTCTCTTCATCATAGTGAGATGAGGCAGCAGACTCATTACGTCAGTGGACCATAATTTGGTTTACTTCCTAAAATGCAGAATGTACAACAATTTAGGTGAAGTGCAGTGAACAATCAACATGCATCTACAGGACCACACAGATGTATGAGCCTAATCCAGATATTTGTATGGATGCCAGAGACATGTAATACCAATTTAATCATATTGATGGAGGAATGTTTTAGTAAATATCAGATTTAAAAGTAAAATAAATAGTACTTAAGAGATGATGTTCATCTGTATGGATGTTTAAGATAACAGGCAGCATTGTGAAAATTAATTTTCATGTACTCATCTATCAGTTTCAGCTTTAATTGCACCTGTACAATCTAATACGCTCCAACAGCTCTGCCATTATTACTCCTTGTGAAACTTATATTCAGTTGTGTTGACCAGAGAGTTGTTCAACTCTGTGTTCATATCTGAGGTCATACAGTATGATGGTGTTGTTCTGAATTATATCATATTGAGAGGTGTTTCCAGTGGTTGAATGTTACTCAAGTACTGTACTAAAGTACAAATTTGAGGTACTTGTACTTAACTTTTTTTTCCTTACATCTACGCCATTTCTGAGGGAAATATTGAACTTTTTACCCTTCTACATTCATCTGACAACTTTAGTTACTAGTTATTTTACAAAATAAAATTTTTACAGACAAAACATATGAAGAGCTTATGAAATATTTAGTTGTATTATAAATTAACCCAACCATATACAAATACAGGTGAAAATATTTTATTTGTTTATTTGGTGGGACAGAGCATCTTAATGAACCTCAATATAAAAATAAAATATGTAAATGTGCCAGAGTTTGCAAAAATGCTAATTTACATCCATAGTCCTTAAGCAGGTAGCAGAAACAGAAAGATTACAAATGACAGTTGAAAGATACACATATAAGTTAAAGGAGAGAATAACATGTCAAGTAAAAGTGATCACAGTTCTGATTGGCCATTGTCTGGGCTGGAACTCATTACTAGTAATAATATTACTTTACCCAGTAAATAGTAGTGTAACTAATTACAAATACATTTTAGTAATAATATTACAGTAACCCCCAAAAAAAAAAAAAATTAATATAAATAAAATAAAACAATCCAATCATATCCCTGGATTAATTTTTGTAATCGTGGAGGAAAGGACACAGCTGGAAATATTCCAGTTACTTTAACAAACAAACCTGGATTATAATCGTCCTAAATCTGAGTTTTGGGGAGAAAAGTATGGAAACAATTACCAATTTCGTGGGGAGTAGCAGAAAAGTAACAGAACTACTACTGTAACTTATTACTGTGGGTATGGGGTTTTTAAGTAAATATGGAATATGTGGGGCATATTCCATACTTCCTTTCACTGACAGGAGTTTGTCCACATGTGGCACCTTACAACCCCCTCTAGTGGTGGCCCTGGTGCCAATGCGGCTGTCAGGTTCATCTCTTTCAAAATGATGCAGTCCAAAGAAGAGTTGTTGTTCCACACACGGACAGAGGAGACTTTTAAGAATCCAAAACTATTTCTTCTAAACAGAGGTGAGTGTTGTCAAACCTGCTCGACGTTTTAATTAGCGTTGTTGACGTCTAATTAGCTCGTTTGAAACAAAGAAATCCTTAAACTGGCTCTGTGACTCCAGATGTATGAAGTGCAAAAGTTCTCATTGTGCTAGTATTATGGGCAAACATATTATAGATAATGCCAGAGAAAGAAACATAATAACATCAAAATATGTCGGCCAGTTTCCAACAGGGCGAACAGTTAGCTAAACTTTGTGTAGCAAGAAAGACGCAGGTGTGATTCAGTTTTTGTAATTAACCTTAATGAAGGTCAAAGGTTTACACGTGCGGGTTTCCTGCCATGTAAATTAAAAGAAAAGTTACATGTAATATGATGTACAGTCAATATATTTACAGTACAGGATCAGCAAATTTGAGCAGCATGGCTAATATATTAACAATATAATACAATACAACAAACCAATCAGGTTTTATTTTACCCAAGTAACAGGTCACTTT